ACACACACACACACACACACACACACACACACACACACACACACACACACAGAAAGAGAGAGAGAGAAAATTTTAAGCAGGCTCCACGCCCAGCACAGAGCCCAACCTGAGGCTCTATCCCACGACCCTGGGATCATGACAGGAGGCAAAATCAAGAGTCAGACGCTTAACGGACTAAGCCACCCAGGTGCCCTAAACATTTTCTATTTTTAAAGAGACTTTTGATTTGCTATGACCAAATAAAACTAGTCTTTATTTATGGCCAGCAGAATCAAAAAAATTCACCACAGCCAAAAAATGGCGGTGAAAGCCTTAGAGACCCTGCTTTCCATTGAGAGACTTACCTGATTGTGCAGAAAGAGCTGTGCCAGGGAATCTGACCACTAAGGCAGTGCTCTCCCTTCTGAGCTGTCAGCTGGAGCTCCTCCCAGTCTGGCCCCGCCTTCAGCCACATCAAACCTGGCGCTGCTGCTCCAACAGACAGGGTGGCTGTAGAATGCTGTATGTTAGGGGCATTTTCCGTCTTGAAAAAGAGTTGAAAACAATAAATTAGATTCCTTGCTGGTTTGGTAAGGACAGGTGGTCATGTAAATGGTTGCTCCATAGTTTGAACACACAAATAGTCATTATGTTCCTCTCTGAATATAATGGATGATACTTGCACACTTGCTCTGTGTGTACGTGTGTATTTATCTATATAAATAGATCCAAATCTATCTAAATATATCCATTTGTCTATTTTTCAGAAGATTGATTTCACACATGTAAACATGCACTGTTAAGAATCAAGGCCCTGGGGGCGCCCAGATGGCTCAGTTGGTTAAACGTCTGACTTCAGCTCAGGTCATGATCTCATGGTTTGTGGGTTTGAGTCCCGCATCCAGTGAGCTTGAGCCCCGCTTTGGGTGGGTCCCTCTTCCCGCTTTCCCTCTCTCTCTCTCTGGCCCCCATGGATTCTCTCTTTGCCCTTCACTCACTTCTCTCTCTCTCCTCTCAAAGAAAGAAAGATAGAAAGAAAGAAAGAAAGAAAGAAAGAAAGAAAGAAAGAAAGAAAGAAAGAAAGAAAAGAAAAGAAAAGAAAAGAAAAGAAAAGAAAGAAAGCAGGCTCTGGAGCCAAACTGCTTAGGTACCAATCCTGACTCTACCACTTACTAGCTGTGGAACTGGGAACATTGGTTAACTTCTCATAGTCCTCATTGGAAAATCAGAAGGCATGAATTGTTGAAGTTTCTATTACACTAATTTTACCCACTTATCCATCTGTGTTATATTGTTAACATCTTTGTTATATTATAATTAACATACAGAGCAAAAATCTGAAACAAAATAAAACCCTGGTATTTTCAAATTGGGTCACACTGCTTGGCACGTCTGATTGTTTCTAACTGTCATTTTTAGGAGGTGTTTTGTTTGATATGGTTAACTGAACAAATGGAGTACACAGGTGGCTTTTTCACTCGTCATGTTAAAAAGCTACTTGTGATACTTGGGTTTCTCAGAATTCATTTGAAAATTACTTGCATCTTTTAGCGAATATAATACATGTTGTATTATGACTAAGAAATACTAATTTAAAAAAAATTTTTTTTAACATTTATTTATTTTTGAGACAGAGAGAGACAGAGCATGAACGGGGGAGGGTCAGAGAGAGGGAGACACAGAATCTGAAACAGGCTCCAGGCTCTGAGCTGTCAGCACAGAGCCCGACGCGGGGCTCGAACCCACGGACCGTGAGATCATGACCTGAGCTGAAGTCGGCCGCTTAACCGACTGAGCCACCCAGGCGCCCCAAGAAATACTAATTTAAAAAATTAAAATACATAGGTTGGTACATATTTTATAGGAGGTTTATAGGAAGATTTAAATACCCATTAAAAATTTTTTTAAAGTTTATTTTCATTTTTGAGAGAGAGAGAGAGAGAGAGCGCGAGAGCATGAGTGGGGCAGGGGCAGAGACTGAAGGAGACACAGAATCTGAAACAGGCTCCAGGCTCTGAGCTGTCAGCACAGAGCTTGACGTGGGGCTCAAACTCATGAATTGTAAGATCATGACCTGGGTTGAAGTCAGACACTTAACTGACTGAGCCACCCAAGTGCCCCTAAATACCCTTCTTAAAAGGAAGTAAGACACATTTAATTCCACATATTTTTCCTTCAAACATATTATGTTAGTTCCAATTTAGTCATTGTGTTATCTGTAGTTTAGGATTATTCCTAAATATGTCTGATCATCAGAAATCTTGATTTAGAAGTAAAAGGTCTAGGGTTTGGGTTTTTCTTTTAAAGCTACCAGGCAGTTCTAATAACGAGTAGTTTAGGATCAGTATTTAGATAGTGAAATTGAGAATAAGTGAAACTTATAAGACTATTTGAAGTTGAGTGTTTGAAGGGGTAAGTTTAATGTTTAAGAGTGAGCATATTATAGTATTAAAATTTAATATCAGGAGTAGAATACACAAAAACTAAGAAGGTACCCTTAAGTTAATCCTGAGTTGAGCTCTTAAGAGAATAGGATCTGGTTATTAGCTTGCATGTTTTAAAAGATATATACAACATATCCCCCCCCCCCCCGCCACACACACAACAGCATTGTATCTCTAACACTTTTTACAGTGTCTGGCATATTGTAGGTGCTAAGTAAACATTTAAAGAATAAAGTAACAGGAAAAAGGATTTCAAAAAAGAACACAAGTAATGAAGCATTAATCCTTTTTGGAATGGTGAAAGAGATTAGGGCTTCGTAAGAATAAATAAAAGGAGGACAAAGGACAGTTATATATTTCAAATGTTTATGAAGTTATTGTGAAAAATACTTCAGAGATCTTCCTAAGACAAAATAATATCTACAAGGTACATTTAAATCCTATTTTAAATTATAGAGTCCATCAAACTCTAGAGTACCTTCCTCTATTAACTGCAAGGACTAGTTCTAATAAGCATTTTCAGAAATATTTCTATTCCCAGAGGAAGCAATACCTGTAAATAACTTTAAAACGTGGGTTGTTACATGCCTGGCATTACTTTCTGGGTATAAAAGTAGATTAGCTGCCCGTAAAGTAGCAGCTACTATTGCTTACGAGGTAGTTAATCTAACACTACAGTAAGTATTATATACCATGTTAAAGCAATGGCAGCTGAAAGTCATTAGTTTATTCTGCCTCAGTTCCTTTTTTTTTTTTTTTTTTTAATTTTTAAATGTTTGTTTATTTTCGAGAGAGAGAGAGCAAGCAGGGGAAGGGGAAAGAGAAAAGGAGACAGAATCCGAAGCAGGCTCCAGGCTCTGAGCTGCCAGCACAGAGCCCATCATGGGGCTCAAACTCATGAACCGCGAGATCATGACCTGAGCTGAAGTTGGACGCTTAACCAACTGAGCCACCCAGATGTCCCTGCCTCAGTTCCTTCTTGATCAGTTTTTAATCTCTTTCCCCCCTTTGGCCCTTCCTGCATTTTTTCTAGAGCCACTAGATTGTTTTTCTCCCTAGATTTATTGAGATATAATTTACCTAAAATATTGTGTAAGTTTAAGGTGTACAACATACTGATTTGATACACATATATTGCAAAATATATTAGCTAACACCTGCATCCTGTGCAATAATTACCGTTTCTTTTTTGTGGTGACGATAGTTATGCTAATTTTAATACTTTGAAAGAATATCCTGGCCAGTTTCTAAGTCAGAATATAGAGTCCTTCATAATGCTTTTATTGTGTTCCTTTGTAATAGTCTCGTCGGTTTGGGTGGCTATAATAATACATTAGACTGGATGGCTTACAAACAACAGAATTTTGTTTCTCACAGTTCTGGAGGCTGGGAATTCCAAGATCAAGTCTCTGGAAGATTTGGTACCTGGTGAGGTCTCAGTCCCTGGTTCAGAGATATCTGTTTACTTTCTGTGTTTCACATAGCAGAGGAGATGCAGAAGCTCTCTGGGGAGTTTTTTTTATAAGGGCACTAATCCCATTCATGAGAGCTCCCCACTCATGACCTAACCACCACCCAAGACTTCACCTCCAAATACCATCACATTGGGCATTAGTTTCAAATACATGAATTTGGTGGGGGAACACAAACATTCAGTCAATAGCAGTTATGTTAACATTTTTTTCCTGTTTCAAATTTTATTGCTACTGAGATGTCTCTCCCGAACTTTGAGATGAAAGTTAGTTTTCTAAACACTTTGAGAAGAATTAAACACCAAGTTAAAATTCTTGAAAATCTTTTTATTTCCAGGTTGACTTATCAAAGGATCTCCCTCACTGGAACAAGCTTAAATCTGATGAGAAGTATTTTATCTCTCACATATTAGCCTTTTTTGCAGCCAGTGATGGCATTGTGAATGAAAATTTGGTAAGGTTTTGGTTTTATTTCTGTTTCCATTCAGAAGCTAAATCATGATAATGGTGGTAAAACAGTCTGAACCTGAAAAATAATGTCTAGGAAATTAAGTAGATGTAGCTTAACTCTCAGAAATGTTTTTCTGATGAAGTGTCAGAGAAAAGGATACATTTCTCCCATTTGAACAGCAAAATATCATGAAATCAAGCATATTGTGCCAGTCAAAACTACTTACAATGCATAGACATGAGTTTGATTTTTACCCTTAGATAGTAACCTTAATAGAGAGCCTGCACCTTAATAACCTTTCTAGAACTGTGTAATTGAGCTCTACATTCTGGTTCCCCTTGTTTAAACTTGTATTCTGGTTGGCCAGGAGGCATGCTTTCTTGTTAAAGAGAATTAGAAAGATACAAACTTTCATCATGAATTAGAAGGGGTTTTGTTCAATCTATCAGCTGTTGGGGAAAACAAAAAGACTTAAGGTCAGTTTTACAAAGCAAAGTATTTACTTTTGATGTTCTACGATGTACTTGGCTATAGGGAGTATCTCTACTTAATAGATCAGTTCATTTAATTGCTTAAGAATACATGATGCAACTGGATCCTGATAAACTTAACAGAAGATCATGGGGGAGGGGAAGGAAAAAAAAGAGAGGGAGGGAGGCAAACCATAAGAGACTCTTAAAAACTGGGAATAAACTGAGGGTTGATGGGGGGTGGGAGGGAGGGGAAAGTGGGTGATGGGCATTGAGGAGGGCACCTGTTGGGATGAGCACTGGGTGTTGTATGGAAACCAATTTGACAATAAATTTCACATTAAAAAATATTTTAGAATATTTAATGCTTTGGCAAATTGTGCATAGTATTAAGTGAGCAAAATAGATAATAAAAGATATAGGTCTGAATCATTTGTATATATGCATAAAATAATTTGAAAAAATACATTATGCAACTAATTTATTGTGGAGGATTGATAGATAAACAATACTGCTTAAAATAATCTATAAGTTCTGTCTAACCTGTCCGTGACATGACATAATTTTTAAGTGATAATTATGATGTCCAGATTCTGATTTGCAGTGTTTAATGAGAGCCCACAGAATTGGATATATATGTTTCCCTTATTTTCATAGGTGGAGCGCTTTAGTCAGGAGGTTCAGGTTCCAGAGGCTCGCTGTTTCTATGGCTTTCAAATTCTCATCGAGAATGTTCACTCAGAGATGTACAGTTTGCTAATAGACACGTACATCAGAGATCCCAAGAAAAGGTATTACCACTGGGATTTATTTACAAAGGTTTATGCTATTGCTTATGTTAAGAGCAGAACTGGGGCATCCAGGTGGCTCAGTCGGTTGAGCTTCTGACTCTTGATTTTGGCTCAGATCATGATCTCAGAGTCCTGGGATCAAGACCCCTGTCAGGCTCTGCACTGAGCATAGGGCCTGCTTGGGATTCTCTGTCTGTCTGTCTGTCTGTCTGTCTCTCCTTCTGCCCATCTCCTCTGTTTGCATGAGCACTCTTGCTCTCTCTCCCTCTCTCAAAAAAAAAAAAAAAAAAAAAGGCAGAATTTACTCCAAAACTAAATGTTAGGGAAAGATTATTCATATGTTTTCTATCGTTTAATAATGTGTTGAGTTTAAAAAAAAAAACAAAAAACTTGTATAGGGGCACCTGGGTGGCATAGTCAGTTGATCTCACAATTCATGAGTTTGAGCTCCATGTCTGGCTTGCTGCTGTCAGTGCAGAGCCTGCTTTGGATCCTCTGTCCCCCTCTCTCTCTGCCCCTCCCCTGGTGACACTCTCTATCTCAAAAATAAGTAGACATTAAAAAAAAAAAAAAAAAAGCCGGTAGAAAACCAGTTCATCTTTATTATATTTAAAAAATTGTTTATTAGCATAATCTTTTTAGAAATTGAATATTGACTTTAGCCAATTTTGTATCAGCACAGATCCAAACCACTAATTTGAATTTTAGTTTCATTTTAAGGCTTACTCCCTCGACCCTGGGATCATGACCTGAGCTGAAGTCAAGAGTTGGTTGCTCAACTGACTGAACCACCCAGGTGCCCCGAGTTGCAATTATTATTGATGATTAAACTATGAAAATTATTCTGATTAAGAAAAACAAATTTCTTAATTCTTTTGTTTTTATAGGGAATTTTTATTTAATGCAATTGAAACAATGCCATATGTTAAGAAAAAAGCAGATTGGGCCCTACGATGGATAGCAGATAGAAAATCTACTTTTGGTAAGTAGCTTTAATTTAAAAATCATCAAATTTGGCTCAGTTGATATAACACTTTCTATGTGGTGTGACTATCAGGTACTAATCAAAGTCACAGAATGGAAAAGGAATACAAATGTCACCATATGCACCTTTCATGGAATCATTCCTAATTCTTAGGAACCAGTGATAAAATAATCTAAAGCTGTTATCTATTTTGTTTAATAAGTTGTAAGTTGAAAGGTTAAGACACTAGTACATAATTACAGGTATATAAAAGTCACGTAGAATCTAATAAGAATATTATAGCAAGCACAGTTTGTCTCTGCTTTCATGAATGTTGATTTTAGAAATTTAAAGCAAGTCAAACTCACATTTTTTTCAGGGAACAAGTGTGTAGTTTCTGAAAAACTATACATAGTAGTTGCTCAATAAATATTTATTAAAATTAATTAAAATATTCAGATACTTTATTTGAATATCTCTAAGTACCTTTCTCATTCTCATCTATTTAATAATTGGTGGTCTTTACTTTCTGGTTGTATTCATTATATAGGGAAGCAAGTCTCAAAATTTTTGGTCTCAGGATTTCTTTATGCTTTTAAAAAATATATTTTTTTTTAAATTTTTTTTTTAACGTTTATTTATTTTTGAGATAGGGAGAGACAGAGCATGAACAGGGGAGGGTCAGAGAGAGAGGGAGACACAGAATCTGAAACAGGCTCCAGCCTCTGAGCAGTCATCACAGAGCCCGACGCGGGGCTCGAACTCCGGACCGTGAGAGCCGAAGTTGGACGCTTAACCGACTGAGCCACCCAGGCGCCCCTATGCTTTTAAAAAATATTGAGGACTCATCTATTTGTGTGGTTTGTTGATATTTCCATATTAGAAATTAAAACAAACTTACATCATTCAAATTTGGGTTATTAAATCATTTTAAAATAGCAGTAATAACCCATTATATTTTATTATAAATAGAATAACAGTAATACCTCATTATATTTTAATATAAATAGCACATATTTATGAAAAAACACTATTTCATACCCCCCAAATTTTTGCAACCTTTTAAATGTCTGATTTAATAGAAGACAACTGGATTATATCTGCTGCTACATTCAATTTGTTGTAGAATATTTTTGTAGTTTATTGTATAGTTATGAAGAAAATCTAATCTTATTCAGATGGGTAGTTAGAAAAGGGAGCACTACTTTACCAGGCTTCTTAGATTATTTTGGATGAACACCAATGTATGCTCATGAGAGAATGGTAGTAAAAAATAAATAAATAGTACCTTAGCATTGTTATGAAAATAGTTTTGACCCCAGACCTCCTCAGTATGTGGATTTCCAGGGAACCTCTGGACCACATGTTGAGAACCAGCAATGTAGAGAAGGGTATGGGGCAAGCCTGTTTCATATCAGGGAAGAAACAGATGTCTGCATTGCCTTCAGTTCATTTCAAGAATGAGAAAAGTGATGGTTCTCAATGGGCATAAAAAATCACCCAAGAGTTTGTAGAAAAACCCTGCAGAATCCTGGTCCTCACCAGAGAGTGATTTAGGAGGCCCAGGTAGGACTGGGGAATCTGCATTTTATATCAAGCTGATTCTCTCATGAGTGGTTTAAGAAATACCAGCTTTAAAGAAAAAAAGGAGGAGGGGCCCCTGGATGGCTCAGTCGGTTAAGCATCCTACTCTTGATTTCGGCTCATGTCATGATAACATGGTTGTGAGATCCAGCCCTGCATCTGGCTCTGCGCTGACAGCACAGGACCTGCTTGGGATTCTCTCTCTCCACCGTTCACTTTCTTGCTCTCTCTCAAAATAAATACACATTTTTGAAAAAGGAGGAAAACGTCAAGGTGTTCAGTATGCATCAAAAATATTCGTATGGATAGGTACCAATGGCAAATGATGAACAGGCTCAGATAGCATATATTTCA